TAGCCAAAGGCCCTTTTCAGGGCCGCCAATTAATTAACAAAGAGATGAAAATTTTATGTTTAGATAAATACATATATACCAATCAACAAGAGGCCCTTTTCAGGGCCGCAATTAAGTTGACAAAGAGATTGAAATTTTATGTTTAGATACATACATATAAGCCAATCAACAAGAGGCCCTTTTCAGGGCCGCAATTAAGTTGACAAAGAGATTAAAATTGTATATCCTATATATATTTATGTTCTGAACGTATATATGTATGCATGTATCTTTTTAATAATTATCATTTAAATTGTATGATTTTTTTACTTAGATTTAATAGCAATTACTTGTTTTTACACATCATTTTGCTTCGTTATAGTTAAACTTAACTAAGTGGATAAATGAAAATGTAATAGTATATATTTTACGCGCAGTTTCAACGTTTTGACCACTGCAAAATAAAGACTATAGTAGTAAAAATTTCAAATCGAATAAATGTTTATTAAAACTATACCTCATTGCACTGGCTTCCAAAAACAGAAGAAAAATAACTATGACGTACTGAGCTCTGGTTTTTGATGCTTGTTGATGGTTGTTGATGTTGGTTGTTGGTTTTGAAGTAAACATTCATTTTTATCCTGGCATCCTACTGGTTCATTTCCCATAATCCAGCTGATTTAATTCGCTCGCTTGGTCCCTTCGCACTCACCTCACTACACTTTAATTTCCGTTTGAAGGAAAAGACTTCAGTTTTCAATTTTAAATTTACAAAGTTCACCTCAGTTTATTCATGAGCTTTTTTTAACAATTAAAGTTTATGTTTTCACTTATAGAATTTACAAAATGGAACATTTAAAGGGAGTTCCCAAATACTAGCTTTCAGGGGGCACGTGCGCGTAGTCTGACGATGTTAGCTGAACTACCTTCTGCTGATGTTTTACGACGATGGGGAGGCGGCCGTGCGCGCTCGGTAATTGCATTTTCGGAGTTGACGTCGATCAACTGCCAAACTGCTGCGGCCAAGGATTGCGCGCACGGCCGTCGTATTGCGCTTTAAGCGGCGGCTTAAACATTCTCCCCGCCCTGCAGGAATGCGCTGCTCAGGGTCTTCTGCAGCTCTTTTAGCGCGCGGATGGTGTTGCCCAGGACACGGTTAGTGGTGAACCCTGGTAGCTGGCCGTTTGCAGGCCTTGGTGGGTGCGCGCGATCGTCCTTTGGGCGGTCTTTTTGCGCGGTGGTTGCGGCCCCTGCCTTCCGTGGTTTTGCGCATTCTTCTGCGCCTTCTGCTGTGCGGTCTTCAGCGCCTTCCTCTTCGGTGGTGCGCGCCGCTTGTTGCTCCTTGGGGCCTTTGTGGCCGGTTTTCGTTGCTTGGGCCCTTGTTCCCTTGGCCCCTTGCGCGCATGGGTGTTGGCTGCCACATGCAGCAGCGTGTGGTGCGCTAGCCCGCAGGTCTTGCAACTGCCTGGTGAGTCGCATTCCCCGGTAGTGTGGGTGAGTGCGAGGCAGTTGACGCAGTAGCCCTGCGCGCGGGCCACTCCCAACCGTTGTGGCGGCTTCATTGCCTTGAAGGCGTGGTACCGGTGGCAGAGCCGGCATTGTAGGCAGTTATCCGACTCTGCCGTTGGAGCCAGGGGCATGCCTTCCGCGATGCCATGATGTCTTCAATCTGGAAGTAGAAGCAAAGGCAGAGAAACGAGAATTACTTGGGTACAATATTTAAGCGGGAAGTTAAGACCCTTAATATACAGAAGGAAAATATGTATAGAATTATTTATTGTGCTTTTGGAAGGAAGCACAGTTTGACAAGTGGCCGCGTGATAACTCCGTTTTGTGTACGGATTTTTACGACACGTATGTGGTTATCAGGGCCGTGGCGAACGTTTTCGATTCGTCCCACTCGCCACTCGGTGGGGGGGGAGCGAATCTTCTTTGATCACGACGAGGTCGCCTGGCTGAGGATCGCGTTGTGGGGTTTTCCACTTGTATCTCTTCTGAAGATCTTTGAGGTAATCTTCTTTCCAGCGGCGGTTAAATTGGTGGTGAAGTGCTTTGACTTTCTCCCACCGGTTTAGTAGGGGGAGGTCTTCCGCATCAGGCTCGGGAATGGCCAATAGCGGTGCACCTCGAATGAAGTGACCCGGAGTAAGTGCTGTCATATCAGCTGGGTCTTGGGAAAGTGCGGACAGAGGCCTCGAATTGAGGACTGCTTCAATTCGCACCAGAAGCGTCGTGAATTCTTCAAAGGTAAACTTGTGGGTTACAGCGGTTTTCTTTAGATGGATTTTAAAGCTTTTCACTGCAGATTACCACAAGCCGCCCATGTGGGGGGCGCTGGGTGGTATATATTGCCGGTTGTAAGATCCGAGCATAGCTCGAGATGCATTGCCTTTGTGGAAAAACAGACAAAAACTGCAACGTATCCCTTGATAAGGGTTGTAGATTTTAGCACCGATGCTTTAATTTGGAATGGCCCAGCAAAATCTACTCCCGTTGTGGAAAATGGGAGTGAGAAACTGCAGCGCTCAGGGGGTAGAGCGGCCATTATTTGGGTGCGTGTTTGTTGCTTGTAACGCGTGCACACTTTGCAATGAAAAATGTATTTTTTAATTAGAGCTTTAAGCTTTGGTACGTAGTACTCTTGCCTTACCATTTGGAGCATTAATCGTGTTTCTGCGTGAAGAAGCAGCGAGTGTAAAAACTCCAAATATAGCTGGCAGAACCTCGATTCGGAAGGGAGAATTATTGGGTGCCTTTCATTATAGCTCAATGTGGGATGTGCTAATCGGTCATTAACCCGTAGAAGTCCGTCTTTGTCCAATGAAGGATTGAGAACAAGAAGAGGACTTTTTGGCTTTTTATCTTGCAAAGCGCTTTTTTCGCTCGGAAAATGGCGTGATTGCGCTGCGTTGATAAGCATATTGAAATTCGTTATGCGTCAGATGTGGATTCGTGATTGTAGCTAACCTCTTTGATTTGTTGCGTGCATTGCTCACGAAGCGGAACATGTACGCAGTGTTGTGCGTCTACAAATAATTAGTAAGTAAGGTCAGTAATGTAAACACACATGTGACTGCAATATTATATAATAAGAATGCAAGCAAAAAGAGTTATGACTCATATATATGTCCCAAATTGGGCAAAGCGTTAGCGGCCACTTGCTTTGTAGAAACGATCAAATTGCAGCTTGCACATGTGGGTCACTTTTGTGAAGACATTTGTAATGTTGTATTTTCTAAGCGTTAGCGGCCACTTGCTTTGTCGAAACGATCATATTGCAGCTTGCACATGTGGGTCATTTTTGTGAAGACATTTGTAATGTTGTATTTTCTCAAGACGATGAACTCTGTAGAGCAACTGTGAAACGATTGGTTTCACAATTGATATTTCTCAATATATGAGAAGTCAATATAAATTGAATTAGAGTAAAAGAAAAGCAATGAGACTTTACTACAAGAACATTTAAAAAATGCAAAACTACAAAAAAAATTAAATTATGATTGGTCACAATATGAAAATGTTGGAAAAGTAACCGAAAAGTGGGAGTGTCTTAGATTTAAGGAGAAATGTAAAATTTATTATAAAAGCAGTGTTTGTGCACTGAAATAAACAGACTTGTTTTGAATCAAGAATCGGCAGCATTGCCTCGTTTTTCTAACTTGTCTCATCAATAAAAATAGGCCTTGAGGCCATCATCCTTTTAGCGTGGCTCGCTTAAAAGCCAAAAGTTAAAAATACTAAAATAGGGAAATGAATCAAAAACCAAACTTAACATGGCGATCCTGCCAGGAGGGCACAAAATGACATCTGCAGTTATAGCATTTCTGTTATTGGAAGAATGCTGTTTTGCGTTGCATTTTTATGATTTCCCCTAGTTATGAATAAATATATGAGTAATTAATATTTGTTTTTATAAAATAAACCTCCATTTACTCACATTTTTACAAAATGTCAAACTGCAAGGAATAAAAACTAAAAAACAGACAAATTTAAATAAAAATTAAACTTAATAAAAATTATATTCATGTCGGAGCAATATTCAAAAGAAGATCTGGACAACCGGTTTGAACAGCTGAACCACCCAAGATCCCTCGAAGAAGAAAATATAGATGATGAATATGTCCCTGAAGCACTGACGACAACACCAATATCGAAATACGTCCCAACTCCGTTCACGGCTGGACCTAAGCCACTAACAATAGAAGCCTACAGAAAAAGACAGATTAAAAATGATAGCACAGAGCATAGTGCACCAAAACGAAAAACCAGAGGAGGTAAGGCGGTGAAACTACGAAGGAAGATTGGTGAGCTTCACAGGGTAATTCCATTAGCCACTGGAGAGAACAAACGAAAACTAATTGCGGAACTGATAGAATTAAAGAAAAATAAACATAACAACTGAGGCATGGTTTGGGCAATTGTACTTCCAAAAGCCAATGAACAGCAGCAGAAAATCACCATGAACAACAATAACAACAATATCAACAATAGCAGCAGCAGCAACAACCTTTTAATAAATAATATAATAGCATTTATTTCGATTGTTTTTATATTAATTGTAATCATATATTTTATAAATAAGCATTGTAAGACTTATGTTAAAAAACAAATAATTAAAAATATGAGTTTAAATAAGTGTTTAAAAAAATAATAAATAAATAAAATTTAAAAATAATAACAATTAAATTTTACTTAAATGAAGATGAAAAAGTGTGTTACAATATGCCTTTATCAAGGATGTTTTGGTGAAATGTTAAATAAAATAAATATTTAACAAGTAAGAAAGTCTAAGTTCGGGCGGAGCCGAACATTAAATACCCGGCGCAAGTATTAAATATAGGTTTTCCACCTTTCCGAAAGCTACCGCTACATGATAAGCCGGGGTGCGAAATATTGCAGTTTCAAGCATTTCTGAAATTTACCGTTATATAAAAAGCGGCCGTAATTTTAGTCCGATTTCAATAATTTTCAACGTTTTGCTTTTAAGTGGCAAGCACAATAACCACACCGAGTTTGGTACAAATTGGTAGAACGGTTACCGATATACATATATGTGATCACAAGTGGGCGGTGCTACGCCCATTTTCCAAAATTTTGTCATAAACGTATTTCTTGGTAAAGAATTGTTGCAATCATCAATTTTGAATAAATTTGCCTCAATATTTACTGATTTATCGAAGATTTTGTATTTCTCGAAATTACCGTTATATGGGATGTGGGCGTGGTTATTGTCCGATTTTAGAAATTTTCGGCAAGTTGGTATGCTGTACCAGGACCAACAACTGTGCCAAGTTTGGAAGAAATTGGTGTAGCGGTTACCAAGATATACACATGTAACCATAAGTGGGCGTGGCTACGCTCATTTGCCAAAATTTTGTAATATTCTTATTTGTCGTCTAAAACTCATTGCAAATATCAATTTTTAGTGAATTATCTTCAGTAGTTACTAAAATATCGCAGTTTTCGTTTTTCTGAAAATTACCGTTATATGGGAGGTAGGCGTGGTTATTGTCCGATTTTTAAAATTTTCAGCCATTTAGTATGCTGCACTAAGGCCAACAACTGTGCCAAGTTTGGAAGAAATTGGTGCAGCGGTTACCAAGGCATACACATGTAACAATAAGTGGGCGTGGCTACGCCCATTTTCCAAAAATTTTTAATATTCATGTTTTCCGTCTGAAACTCATTGTAAGTGTCAATTTTGAGTGGATTATCTTCAGTAGTTACTAAAATATCGCAGTTTTCGTATTTCTTAAAATTACCGTTATATGGGAGGTAGGCGTGGTTATTATCCGATTTCGCCCATTTTCAATACCATCCGTCCCACGCCCAAAAGAAGTTCACGTACCAAGTTTCGTTAAGATATCTCAATTTTTACTCGAGTTATCGTGTGCACAGACGGACGGACGGACGGACGGACGGACGGACGGACGGACGGACGGACAGACAGTCACCGCTTAATCGATTTCTCTGTTCATTCTGATCATTTATGTATACATTTGTCTATATCTATCTCGATTCGTTTTGCCTGTTACAAACAACCGTTATGTGAACAAAGTTATAATACCCTTGTGCACAAGTGCGCTCGGGTATAAAAAGAAGAGGAGTATGAATTTGATTTGCTTTTAGGAAGAATAAAATTACTTTTAAAACACAAAGTTGACGAAGTTAAAACAAAAATGTCAAAATTTGATTTAGTAACTGCTTCCAAGCTAATTCCGGAATTTCAAGGGGATTATCTTGAAGTAAACAATTACCTTGGTTTAATTGAATTCTATCACGACACCTTAGAGAATGAGCAGCAGAAACAATTATTAATTAAATTCGTTTTAGCTACAAAACTATCAGAAAAAGTAAAAAATAAAATTCTGACACAAGCCAAGCCTACTACATTTGAAGACTTTAAAAAACGACTCAAACAAACATATAAATCATATAAAACAATCTCAAATATTCACATTGAATTATCACAAACAAATCAAAGAGGTTTGAATGTGAATACTTTTGGGTCTAAAATAGAGAACTTGTTAGCATCATTAAATGAATTGCAGATAAGTGAACAAGGTGAAACAAATAGAGAAATAATAGTTAAACTTAATGACCAAATTGGTTTGACAACTTTCAAGAATGGTTTAGAAGAGCCATTTAAATCAGTAGTTTTGGCGGCAAGACCAACAAAACTATCTGACGCGATTAAAATAGC